ATATTTGTAGTTAAGACTACTAGAAATCTTATTTATGGAGTAAAAAGGCGAAAAGACTGGAATTAGGGGCATGACTTCTATGAGGGGCATCCATCCTAATTCGGTAAAAAGTATCTAACTAGGTATTAATATACCAAGTTTTTACTATAAACTAACATTTTTTAAAACTAAATTTAACTAAAAAAAACTAAACTGACCATTTATTTTTTAACTCAAAACAGGACATGGTTTTATTTATACTCTAAAAACTATAACTTTACATAATTAGTGTTCACTATAAAATTATATTCGGTATAGACGGTAATTATTAAGTGCAACATATTTTTTTTAATTATTAATTACATTTTTCAGTGGATTAAATTTGCTTTAAAAAAGTTGGTGATGATTTTAAATAAGAATAAAATTGTGTGTAAAGTTTTTTATTGTTACCTTTATTAACAACATCGCCTTTAGAACTGGAACCGTAATTTTTTTTTCAGACGTCCACAATATATTCAAAATAGAAAAATACGCTTTCTACTTGAGCATTTGAACATCAGGTAGACATAAAATATATTCGATTAAAAAAAATATGTTGAAGATTGTTGACTTTGAATACTTCCATCCAACGAGTTACGGGGCAATTTTGTGTCCCGGAGCTTTGTTTGGGGACAATGGGACAGGTGACCGAGAAAAGGGACAGTTCCGTCCAAAACGGGACGTATGGTCACTTTAGCTATAACCCGGCGACGGCTCCATGGCGCAGTGGCTTAGCAATCAGTTGTTGCACTGGGGGCCGCGGGTTCGAATCCTGCACGAAACAAATAATTGTTCCGGATCTGGATGTTTGTCCTTGTGCAATTTATATTTGTAAACTGCCTCCACGATACAGGGGAAAAACCTAGTGTGGGGGTAACGTTTTTTTAAAATTGAAACTGAAAGATTGAACCCTTATACTTCTTGTTGATTTTTGTATTACCTTTATTAAAGTTACCCTTATGTATAAATAAATATCATTACGTATGTAGAAATAAAATTGATTTTCATCCTCATCAATCATTGGGGTGAGGAAAATGTCAGCCAGCATAAGTAATAAACAGGCTAAGTTACAAGGTGCTTAGTAAAAAAATTAGTAGTTAGGTATGTTACTTTTCAATACGTGACACGTAAAAATTAACAATAATCAAAACCACATCTGCAAAAATCCTATTTATTTATTCTTTATTGCACCAAATATTTGTACAAATGGCCAGATATCTATCTATTTACCTATAGTGAGTAGGTATCTTTTAAACTCACAATTTTCAATGCTTCATTTTTAATATATAATTAATTATAAAATTTCATAACATGATAATATATGAGAATACATAATTCTAATATAAAGCAACTAATATACCGAATAAAAAAATTAAAATACATTTATCGTTGTACGCTGTGTGCATTTCCATAAAATAGTTTATTGATGTTGAAAAAATAATACTACGTTCGTATAGTAGGTGGCCTCTTACATACTTCTTACGCAATATATTGTAGCGAGTCGGCGCGGCGAACCAAATGCTCAAGTTCGTTCGCATGGAGTAGCCCCTTAAATACAATTGTGTTACTGGAATTGGTATGTAATGTACATATTTAAAGTGTCTACGATATAGAATTTCAATAGTTTTAATTTGTTTTTCATAAATGTTATCATTGTTGAAGTAACATTTATATATTTGTTGCTCAGAAAAAAAATATGCCTCTCTAATTATGAAACAGAACCTCTCATTTTTTTTTGTAATAATAATAACGAGCAATTTTTAGAGGTTTTGTTTTTTTAGTGAAAACCGTATTAGAAGATAAACCTTCGTTTTAGAAAATTAAGTCATGAGCAAAATAATTTAAATATCCACCAGCAATAATTAAATTTTTAATAGCTGATTTAAGCGTAAATGTTTTCAGAAAAATAAAACATCATGGGAGAATCATCTATATATGACAAATAAAAAAAAATTCCAGAACATGTGCTAAAACGCATTAGGGCTACGATTACGATACGCTTCTTTCTTGCTCCACTACCTTTTCTTTAATAACAGAAGACCGTGTTTTCCAGCAGCGGAACATATGAAGGCTATTACGTTAATTTTTATCTCGTAAAATTTTGCCGTGTTCACTTCTTCATATAAAATTTTAAGGACGGTGTGTCCTATGTATACAGCGTGTAAAAAACTGCTCTCCGCCCAAGGTGGGAATATGGGTGTATCCTTAAGTTTACAGAATATAAATGGAACAAAATTTGAATTAAGAATATAAAAGTTTATTTTAAATATTGTCCCCGACACGCGGTTGTCGGTGCCGTCTTCAGAGCTGTCATGTGATACCGTCTACCGAGCCGCGCCGCCATACCGTCGCCGCTGCACTGCCACGCCGTCGTTGTACTGCCACACCGCCGCCGGCGCACCGTTTTGCAGCCACATGACCTTAATTTTGCAGTTTAACAGTTCTATTGCACAGAAAGTGTGTGTTTGCGTGTGGGTAGTTGTCTATCATAAATTGTAATTATCGACTGGCGTACTGTCTGTGTGTACAATGATTAAAATATATTTTAACATGTTGATCCGATACTTCGTGAAGGAAGGAAAAACCAACAAATACAATTTTGCGCTTATAAAGTATGGATGTCGACGTGCCCGCTAAGAGTAAGTGTAGGGTAAAATCGGGTAATGGCGACCAGATGGTAATACCGGTCATCACACTTCCAATTATGTTACAGTGATTATAAGCACACACACATACAAAGCGGGTGGCGTGACTATTCCCCTCGCAGGAGCGCCGAACCCCGTTCAGTTCCATGCATGCGTTTGGGAAGAAGACACGTCGAAAGTTTTCGCGCCACTTTGTTGTTAAATTTTACGGTCCGAAAATAAGAAGTAAGTAAATTTTACTCGATAGTTTTCAAATGTTAAGTTAATATAAAGGTTGCCTAACTATTTGTGCGCAATCGTCAAATCATCTTTGTTGATTATCCTGCAGATTTTTAAATAAATCTTAAATATTTAGAAATATCAATCGTCGGGTAATACCGGTCATGGCTGACCGGCATTACCCACACACCCACATCAATTTTTTGTAAAGTTTTCAATTTAAATAGTCAGTATTTACGCCCGAAAGCTGGTTTCGGAATTGACGTCAGAGGGCGCTCGGCTCGGCGCCATACCGGTTTGAAGTTCGGTCGTGCGTAGAACGCGCGGCGTAAAATACGAGTCGTCTACCAGCTGTGCTAACGTCAGTACGCTGTTAGTTTTTGTTCGGAAACTCGGAATAATTAGGCGCGGCTAGTAAATATACTGTCTAGGATTTATAACGATTTATAACATTCCTTGCTGGAGAGCTTCCCCGGGACTCATTGTGTCTGACTCAGAATCTGTATAAGTGCATTCGACAATATTAGCTAATGCGGCCTTTGATATTCTAGAAATAACTGTTGCTACGCGAAACGGTAGTGACCTTTGATCCGGACACTCCCTGTTTGTTTTGTGTGTTAAGCTTTATAACAACGAGAGTTAGTGACTTCTGTAAGTTAGTTAATAGTACGATAAAGTTAATTGACTGTCATCGTGACGAACGAAGGAAGTGACTGTGGATGGCGCCGCGGAAAATTACCTCAATTTGGAGCGGTGCTGACGTCCGGGCTACTGCCGACGGCAAAGGTCTAATAAGGTCAATCACCACCAGTCACACCCAAATACACATCACAGCACCTACTTCCCTTGCAGGCGTGTCACTTTGTAAAAATCTGAGGTATGGAAAATGGTGGCGCGATTTTCAAATTTGTTCGCATTACTCGTGGGGTATTAAGGTTTAAGAGTTTGCAGTGTATATACTCAACTTATTTATTGAACTATAAGATGTGGGGTATTGAGGTTTAAGGGCTTGCGATTTATTTATATGGGGTTTGTAGTAATATGCGATTTATTTCCTAATTTCAGCTATGGAATTCCATACCTTGAAAAACTTGAGGTATGGAGTGCTCCATACCTTCCATAGTGGAAGTGACACCCCTGTTCCCTTGCACCACACAACCACATGCGACCTGACCGAATCCTGAGGGAACAGTCGCCTTGGATATAGGTAAGTAAGCTCCGTCTAATATTCTCCCCGTTGAATGGCAGTAGTATAGAACGCTCCCCCATATAGTTTATTGTAATTAGAGAAATTCTATTTTGGCCTTAGGAGGCCCGAACTACGTCTGCTCGTTGAAACTCTGCTGAATGGGCCCCGGAGGATTTGACCTTTATGGAAGCAGCCGTAGGCTGTAACAATCAGTGTCATTAAAACTTTTAGTATTTTATTGTTTCAGGGTAGTTTCAAAATGCTCCCAAAATATGTAAAAGCACGCAAAAAGGCGAAATGGAGCAAAAAATCATTGGAGGCTGCTTTTAAACTAGTTAAAGATGGAAGGCCGATAAGAGAAGCCGCCCGATGTACTGGCATTCTATTCTACAAGAGAGACGGAAAAAGAAAAATTTGGATACTCCACAACTGGGAAGAAATACTACCTTTATCAAAGAAGAAGAAGAAAGTATGGCTTCTCAAATTAGACTGCTTGCGAATATATTTTCCGGGTGTACTGCTAAAGAAATAAGGAAGATGGCTTTTAAGTACGCAGAAACAAATAACATCAAGCACAACTTCAGCAAAACTTCAGAATCAGCTGGTAGAGATTGGCTTGAAGAATTTTTAAAACGAAATAACTTATCAGTGCGTAAGGCTGAAGGCACAAGCCTAAATAGAGCTTCTTCTTTTAACAAGAATGAAGTAGGAAGATTTTTGACTTGCTGGGAAACTTGATGCAAAAATATAAGTTTCCACCTCGAAACATATATAATGTGGATGAAACTGGCGTAACATCAGTACAGGATCCTGGCAAAGTTGTAGCCAAAAAAGGCCACAAACGAGTGGGCTCTATTACCAGTGGGGAAAGGGGCTAAAATGTTCCGCCAGTATGCGCTATGAGTGTCACAGGGCAATACATTCCTCCAATGTTTATTTATCCACGTCTACGGCATTCGACAGCATTGGATAGTGATGAACCGCGTGGAACAGTATATAGGTGTTCCAAAAACGGATGGATAAACGAAGAGCTCTTTGTAGAATGGCTTAAGTACTTTACAAAATATGCAAAACCTTCGGAAAGTGATCCAGTTTTGCTCCTCTTAGATAATCATTCCAGCCACATTTCCTGGAATTCGTATAAATTTTGCAAAGAAAACCACATTGTGATGTTGTCTTTGCCACCACACGGATCTCATCGAATACAGCCATTGGATATTTCCATTTATGGTCCCCTAAAAACCGCATATAAGCAAGAATGTAACATATTTATGAAATGCAAATTGGGACGAAAAATTACACAAGGTGACATAGCTTCGCTGTTCAGAAAAGCATTTCAAAGAGTAGCAACAATTCCGAAAGCCGAAGCAGGATTTACTGCTTCAGGGATATATTCTTACAACCCAAACATATTTACCGATGAAGATTTTCTACCAGCTGAGATAATGAACAATAGCGAACTTATTGATGTAGAGAGGTGCGATCATGATAATCGAATACAAGATTCCCCATCTCTGCTTGACAATTCAAAAGCAACCTTACAAATCTCTCAACCCAACTTTAATGATCACAACGATGCCATATCTCCTTCTGAATTGCCTCATGTTACATCACGCAACGCAACACTTTCGCCTGCCATTCCACAGCTCGACCTTTTTTTTTACGTGGGGAAATCCTCATGGATACCTTCCGCTACGGGGGCAACGAAAAGGTTATGCCGGACTCATTCCGGCTAAAACCACACGGTGGTCACCATCGGCGTATAGGAGGGGATCCCGGGATCTCCGTTCGGAACGCAACCGGGGCCCCTCCGTCGCTTTGCTACACTTATAGCACGTCCCGGGGACGTGCTATAAGTGTAGCTCGACCTAGATTTCGAAAACCTAGTTTCCACAATTGATTGAAATCCTATTCCCTCAACACCTGGAATATCTTCAATCAAAACTCATATTGAAAATATTGAAAAAGTTACTGTGAAGGATCTTCTTCCTTTGCCAAAAAAATCCGAACAGAAAAATATAAAAGCGATACGGAAACAACATACTACGGTAATAACAGGAACTCCGAATAAAATAGTTTTATTTGAGAAAGAGCAAAAAAAACATAACATAACATAACATAAACACTCACGCCTGTCACCCAGAGGGGTAGGCAGAGATTATGGACTTCCATTTGGCACGATCCTGACACACCTCTCTCGCTTCCTCCACATCCATATACCTACGCATACACGCTAAGTGCGTGTAAGCAAAAAAAGTTAGCAAAATTAGCAAAAGCTCAAATAAAAGTTGAAAAAAAGAAACATAAAACAGTGGAAATAAAGAAAAATATTACAATAAAAAAAAGAGAGAACAGTGAAATCTACAAAGGTGAAAAAAGATAAGAAGATGGATTATAGTGAAGATGAAACTGATATAAGTGAAGATCTGCATAGCAAAAAAGAAAACATTCGTAAAAAACCGAGAAGAATGAAAAAGAAATTTAAGAAAGGTATAGAATTGAAAGGAGTGAAGAGGAAAGTATTACAGAATGAGTCTATGAACGAAGACAGTACTTCAAACTCTGAAATAGAGATGACAGATTTTCGCGAAGACGATGACACGGATCTAGATGATGTCGGGAACAGATGTATAATCTGCGATGACTATGGACGAGACAACGAGTTGTGGTACAGATGTGTACTATGTGGATTTTTTTTTAATGTTTATCATGCGAAAACTGTGATTACTAGTGATCTGAATTAAAGTACCATTTATAGTAGAATAATTATATTTGAGATTGTGAATAGTTCTATAAAGATATGTTGATTTATATTCGCTGTGTATTAATTTTTGCTTAAGTGACCGGCATTAACCAATTCTACCCTAATCACGAAGCGGCTTGTGAGGCTATTGAATATTGTACGACGGTGTCAGATATCGTTGTGTGCTGTTGGTGATAAAACATTGAAGAGCATACATACAAGTGCCGTCGTATATGTGACTACGTTGTTAGGTAGTGCTCAGTCTTCACACAAAAGAAGTTTAAAAAAATAGAATAAGAGTTACAAATGAGCGCACAGTCTACATCTATCCTTCATTAGGAATCAAAATGAAGTCCCCTGAGGACTAAGATGGAGTGTCTCGAAAAAAAAAAAGAAAATTTGTTCATCATCTGGTGATGCTTATGCTTAACAGTATTACAGCTCCTCACAAATCTGCTGCTGAATATAGGTCCAAAATCCATTGAATATTCTATGAGTAACGTAGAAGAATTAAAGAAAATGCTTGAAAGATTTTGTAGCCCATAGATGTATAGTCTCATGGTCTCATATACATGGTAGATCCAATAAGAGCTACGCTGCGACGTATCATTTCTATAGCACCAATGAGTTGACTTGAAAAGAATCACGCTCGCACAATACTAGCATGAAATAGTTAACGCTGCTGTGATTTTTGTAGTGAGTGACAAAAACCAGACTCATTTTTATCAGACTTTAAAAAAGGATGAGGTATAAAATTCGACTATGCGTTTTCTTTTTGTATATATGTTCGAGAGTCGTGTAATATAAATCTAAAAAAATATATCCACCCCAGCGGGTGGTCAAATAGGTTTTAAAATTTTACTTGTTTTTGAGGTGACATTTAGATTGTGATATTTTAGTACACTGCAAAGGATAAAAAAGGCTCTTGATGAAGGTATTACACGTTAGTTCTCAAAGGTGAAAACTGAAAATGCATCTGTTTGTATTTTCATTTTTATTCAAGGATGGGTGTACATCCACTTCCAACTTTCAATAATCTGCCGCCAGTCAAGTTCCCGCCAAAACATCCTCGCTTATATAGATCTACGGGCCTCAGCATCCACTTGCCATCAGATTATACTCGTTTATTCGTAAAAAGTTCGAAACGCATCTAAGCCTAAATCACGCAATCAAAGTTCCGAAGCACTGCTATATATATGATGTATATAAAATATCTATGCACTTATCACATGGAGCACTGACTGCTCAAAGCAGCAAAAAATCTGTTCTTGTCTTTCCACGGCCAAAAATATAACATTAAAAACTTTTTCAAAAACAAGCTTCGTCATGTATTCTTGGCGAACCCTTTCATTTGATAGCAGGCTTGAAATCACTCCCTTTCCAGCACTCAGCATTTCTAATAATACTTAATCATACACTGCTGCCTCACCAGCTTTCATGCTCATCATTGCTTTCATTGTTTCATCTAAACTTATCTCTTTATCTGGTATATGTAAGTGGGTCAACCGGAGTATTCTTGTAAATATCCAGCTGTGAACCTAAAAAGGCTGGTTAAGAAACAAAAATCAACGTCACATATAAATATTTAAAATAAAAAAGTAAAAAGTTAATTTCAGAAAATATTCATTTTATACAGAAACATTTATTTCACAACTCTCTTGCTGGTAAAACTTTCTCTATTATATCAAACCATGAAGAAAATAGGCCATGCCATTATGCTCGGTAAAGCGTTTTCAACTTTATATAATTTAAAACGTTTTATTTACTTAAAACAAAAAAAAATTGAGGTAAAGTCATGTGGGTCATAATAAGTTAAATTAGTAAAGTTTGATTTTAGAAGATCAAAAAAATATTTTTACTTATTTGTCGGAAAGAATTAAATACAAAAATTAAATTTATATCCTACACACAGCACTCAAAACTGGTATTACTGCAATGCGTATATAACTTTAAAGCACATGCTTAGGTAGCCATTATACATTACCGAATGTTTAATTTTTTATTTATTTATGCACAAAAGTGTAAAAATTTTATTTTATAAATTTATTTTATATTTACGGTATGGAAAACCAATAAAACGTTAAGTCAGTGAAAATGCCTTACAGCCTAAAATTACACTGACTCTCGTGTGCCCGAATACTCAAACGCTGCTTTAAGTCTGTGCTGTCTGTATTACTTTACGTTAAAGTGACTGCGACAACACGAGATTTAACGAGGTACTAATTGTAAGAAGTTCAGTAATAAAATATTTCGCATTTTAGCTTTCACATTATTATTGGGATAAAATATAGCCTTCCAGCCTTCCGAAACTTTCCATAAACCCGTTCTCCGAAAAGGCTTTAGTATCATAAACCACATACATACACTACAGCATATACAAAAGACTGAAAAGAATAATCTATCGTTGTCTGTCACATGTGAACTATGGGAAAGGCTTTGAATCAGTTGAAATATGGGCGGTGCTACAGTATCTTCAGTTGTTCCAAGATAACAGTCCGTATATTGAGAACTTTAAATGCTTTTAAAGTAACGCAATTGTGGTAATTGAGCATAGTGCTTAAGTCTTCCAGCAATTCTGCCATAAGGACTGTCAGCAAACTGAAGGTCAGTGATTTACTCACCATTGATGTTATTACCGTATCCTTTCCAGTGCAGTAGCTTGAAGACGTCTTCCAATGCAGCGGTGTAGATTTTAGGGGATATAACACCACCCTTTCTTACACCTCTCTGCAGTCGGATAGGTTTCGTACTCTGATTCTGTACTCGGATAGCCATCGTAGCCATAATGTACAACCACTTTAGCACTTTGATATATCGACAGTCAACTTGGCACCGCCGAAGGGACTGCAGCAACGGTCAAATTTCAACGGAATCAAAGACTTTCTCATAGTTCACATACGCCAGACATAGTGGCAGATTGTACTCTTCTGTCTTCTGTACAATTTATCAATGGGTGTGTATGTGGTCTATGGTACTAAAGACTCTTCGAAAATGGCTTATCCGAGAGGCTGGAGCTCCGCTGTAATTTCATCCTCATATAGATGCTGCCCATAGAATCTCTCAATCTCACACAAAATCTCAAGTCTCCCTGAAAGAACGCAGCCTCACTCGGTCATCAGCTTCCACAGTTAGCTCTTTCTGACAGATAGATCTCTAGCAAAGACTTTGGAGCCCTGGTTCCGCTCGATCGCTACTTCAATACAAGCTGTATTGAAGTTGTTTGAGTCCAGCCGCACGCGTTTGGAGATCTGTCTGTTCAGTTACCTGTACGCTGTCAAATCTGCCGAAGACTGTAGCTTCACTTTCCATCTAACAGCCATAAGATTAAGAGTGTGATCAAAAAGCTTTTGTTTTCTCCTGCGGCAGATCTGAAAAAAAGAGCTCATCATGAAGAGTCCCTCTTTCTCAATGAAGTCGGCCAGCTACTGGCCCCTTGGCTGCCGTTGCGATATTACAAATTTCCCTTACTTCAGCTCACCATTATCTCTTGTATTTAGTCTTGCTTTGAAGTCTTCCGTTAACACCGTATAGTGGATTTTGGAGGAATGCATGGCTTTAGAGATATCCTCATAGATTTCCTCCACCTACTCATCGGTATGTGCCGACGTTGGTGCGTAAGCCTGTATGACCTTCAACGAATAACGTTTGGTGATTCTGAGTATAAGGTACACATCCATCGTCGATACACTCACAGTTTTTACAACGTTTTTAACGAGAGACTTGTTGACGATAAATCCGACACCTCCTTGGGACAGATGGTCGCCCTCCCGGTGATAGAACAAGTTGTCGTATTCGAGGATTACCGTGTCCTCCCCCTGTCTTCGGATCTCAGATAATCCTATAATATGCCAGCGTAACTTGTTTATCTCTTCTTCCAGCTCCAGGATTTTCTCGTCAGTCTTCAGGTTGCGTGCGATGTATGGTGCCAGGTCGAGTCGTCTTAACCGAACCTCCACCGGAGATTCTTAGCACCCCCTGCCCCGCCGTTAACAT